AAAATTTTACAACTTTGACATGTATTAGTAAAACCGTACATATCATCACAACTACTTTGTACATCCAGGTGGATTATACCTTGTTTTTTTTCATGATAAATTGGGCTTTCATTTGGTGGTAAATGGTAATGGATATCTCCTGATTTTTTTATTATCAAAAGAAAACTGGCCCAAAATAGTAAAAAGAACAACCCAAATAGTTTTTCCAGCTCTTCACGCTTGCAGCGATACCATATATGTGTATGTTATTTGTTGTTTGTTCCTGTACTACAGCCCAGAAACAACAATGCGCATTTTGTGTTTTGTTTTTTTTTACCTAAAACACAGTGACACCAATACCAATTTAAAAAAAAAAAGAAAAATCCTGACCTTTGACCCTGACATTTGACCTTGACCTTGACCCAAACACTAACCCTGGCACTGAACTAGATCAAACCTTGATCTATGTATTTTTTTCTTTATTTTTTCTTTTATTTTTTAATATCTATTTATCTTTTTTTTTTTTTAAAAAACAGTTGCTTTTTTTTCTCTCTCTCTGCAAGGTGAGAGACAGATACAATGTATCTCTCTCCTCCATTCAGAGAGAAAAAAAAACACGGGGGGGCGGGATTCACAGTGACTGATCACTGTGATAGCCAATCAGAGGCTATCACAGCGATCATATGACCCAGAATCAGGAGTCCCGGGTCCTGATCGTTAGAACGGGACTCAGGGCTCTCACTAACATCCTGGGTCTTTGTGTTGGGAGCATGCTTTGCGGCGCGCTCCCATCACAAAAACAGGTATGTAAATATGCGGCCCCAAGGAAAAAAGCCCAGTTCTGTAAGGCCGCATATTTGTGTGACGTAGGTGTCAAGGGGGTTAAGAAATTAAAAAAAAAAATCTTTTACTTCTTTTTAATCAGTCAAATCCTACTTTATGCTTCACACTCTTCCCCTCCGAGACACTGCAGCTCACAATGGGAGGCTTCCAGAAACAGAGGCTGTGCTGTCAACCAAAAAAGCAATGGGTAAGACTAGACAAGGCAAGGTGCTGACTCACAAGGTCCAGGTTTTTAAAAAAGCAGTGACGATGCTGATAGTCATGTCTCCTGCAACATTTTCTCAGCCCATTGTTGTGCAAGCATCGACAGCCTACACTGGATACATTGCTGCTTTGAATTCTGTAACAGTGCAGCAGCGTTATCCCCCATCACAGGTAACTGCATGAGGTTGACTTCACTGGCAGGATCAACAGGTATTTGTAAGACTTTGCGGCTATGTGTGTTTGTGTGGGGGCAAGAAAAGAATGGTAAATACAGATGCAGTTACAATTAAGGGCTGCAGTATATATATTGTATAGGTGGCCATAGTTCTGCTTTTAAGAAATGCCATCAATCAGTTAGGTGTGAAACAAACACATTTTAGGCTGACAGCCATTGACATTATAATGGCTGGCTTATAATGAACTTACACCATCCTTAGAATGTTGTAGTTAAGGGATAAAAATAGATTGCTCAGCTGAACACATTCTATTCATACCTTAGACAGAATAATTGCCTTTTCATGTCATCTAATTTTTCTGAGAATCTTTTTTTTTTTTTTTTAACAATTGCTATACAATGACTAAGAACTAGGTTCAGCTCAGTGTGATCATGGAAGATTTCCTCAAACAAAAAGAGGGGATTCTAGTTATTATGTTGATTATTTGACTAATGCAGTGAGCGTGGAAATGTATTAAAAAGCTAATTTAGCACTGCAAAAACATCCAGGTGCACACTGAATTTAAAAGAATGCCTGACCTCATTTTGTTAAAGGCTTTCAAGTTCCCTCTCCTTTTGTTCCTAAACTATGAGTGACGCTCCACTTGACCTGCTATTTTTGTACTCAGCGAGGCTCATGTGAAGTACATATCTGTGACTATATTGTGACATATATCAAATTGAGCAGAGATGCATTTCCATGAATGGATGTAACCACCACTGAAAAGACAGCTTAACATGCAGTATAAAATAACACAAGGGCTGGCTGAAAAAACTTACACCTTGTAAAAATAGATCCATGACTAATATGTAAAACAGAAGATGAGTATTCATTCTTCAAGAACACATGTCATTGTAAGTTATTGTACATTTAGAATTTTTTTGAATAGCTTGGTGGACATATAACACTGAGACCGAAATACATAGCAGCCATCCCAAGTATGCCATTGCAGTAGATCTAGACTAGTGAAAGCTGATTTTGGTTAGAGGAAAAGATGACTTATAAATCAGTCCTCACTTGCAGCCTCTTACCTTCTAAGGCCGACCATACATGGGTTGATTTTCGAACGATTTTTTAGTTCGAAAATCGGACCTAAGAATAATAGGTCGATTTTCGCTCTGTTAGTGGGGCAATGGCACCGGGCTATTTTCGTGGTTCCACCCCATTTCATTTATCGGACATGGAAAATTCGTGAAAAATTACCGATTTTCAAAATCATCGGTGACACCATCGGATTCCAGAATGAACAATGTTTTCGATTTTCGATTGAAAAATCGTTAGGAATTCGACCCATGTATGGCTTGCTTTACTTGTTACAAAGTTACAGACTGATTACTGGACAGTGGAGACTGAGGAATGCTTTTTCCAGCCTGCAACAGACTGGTGACATCATCACCAGTCACATAAAGCGGAGCTCCACCCAAAAGGGAAATTCCGCTTTAAAGACTGCTCCCCCGCTCCCCATTAAGGATTGGCACCTTTGGGGGGCGGGGGGGAGCGGGTACCCGAATTTGACAGGTACCTGCTCCCACTTCCGGTCCAATTGCCTAGGCGATCAGAAGTGTCCTCCCTCCCACCCTGTAGTCTTTTGGGACATGTGACAGGTCCCAGAAGACTACAGGACCATTCAGGTAGCGCAGCGCTACTCGCGCATGCGCAGTGGGTACCCGGCTGTGAAGCCGCAAGCAGTCACAGCTGGGTGACCACACTGAAGATACCGGCCTCCTGGAATACAGGACAGCCAGTCAAACAGGCTGTGGGGGACACACCACGGGACCGAGGGACAGATGAGTGGCTGTTTTTTAAAAGTCAGCAGCTACAGTTTTTGTAGCTGCTGACTTTTATTTTTTGTCAGGGTGAGTGGAACTCCGCTTTAACTAGAGCGCAAGGTTAGCTTTTTAAAGAGGAACTTCAGCGGGGAAACTGATGACATCATCTTAGTTTAAGCAAAGTCACATGACTGGAGCTCAAGAACAATGTTTCAAAGGGGAACGTGAGTGGGGAATGGGAGAATTAAAAGTCAGCAACTACAAATAGTGTAGCTACTGACTTTAACCACTTGTCCTCAAGAGGATTTACCCCCCCCCCCCCCCTTCCTGACCAGGCCATTTTTTGCAATACGGCACAGCATTACTTTAATTGACAATTGCGCAGTCATGCAACTCTGCACCCAAATGAAATTTACATCCTTTTTTTTCCCACAAACAGAGCTTTCTTTTGGTGGTATTTGATCGCCTGTGCGTTTATTTATATTTTGCGCTATAAACATAAAAATAAACCAATTTTGAGAAAAAACTATATTTTTGACTTTTTGCTATTAAAAATCTCCAATAAACAAATGTAAAAAATCTAATTTCATCATAAATTTAGGCCAAAATGTATTCTGCTACATGTCTTTGCTAAAAAAAAAAAAATCCCAATACGTGTAACTAATTGGTTTACGTGAAAGTTATAGCGTTTACAAATGGCAGCATATACACTGGAATTTTCTTTTTGTTTACTAGTGATGGTGGTGACTTATAACGGGACTATGGCAGGCATTCTGACACTGGGGGGGGGGACTGACTTGGTGTCACTGACATCCCTAGTGACACCAATACAGTGATCAATGTTAATAAACACCACTGACACTGTACTAATGGCACTGGGCAGGTAGGGGTTAACATGTGTGGCAGTCAAAGGGTTAATTGTGTGCTGTTTTACAATGTTGGCTGTGTGTCTTTCACTGTAAGCACACTGCTTTGTATGGCTCTGCTATGCACTGTGCAGGAGCTGACAGGGGAGAGATCTGTATTGTTAACATACAGGTCTCTCCCCGTCAGTAATATTCAGAGATCGCTGGGTGCCAGTGTGGAATCACCAACTGGGACCCGGTGATTGACAGCCGAGGCCACTAAAGGTGGCACGGGTAGGGTGCGCACGTGTGCTGCCTACCCAGAACTGCACAATCACGTATATATATGTGATTTTGCGCACCCGTGCCACCCTGTAGCTGTATTTCTGCTATAGGGCATCACAGAAGTGGTTAAATAAATAGATACTTACAAGTCTATGCAGTCAAGCCCTGTCTTCTACATAGTCCACTGTTTTCTGAGTGTCTGTTCCTTTGCATTGCCATCTTGGTTTCTGCAGTCTGTTGTCACTTCTGATGGCTCACAGTTGGCTCCCTACTGCATATGTGCAAGACACAGCATGCCTTGCAACTGGTACGGCTACTACAGCCTCCTGGCATGTGTGACGTTATCTCAGGTGGCTGCTGACAGGGAAGTGGGAGCAGGTACAAGGGGCGGACTGAGCATTTGGAAACTTTGTCAGTAGGGGGCCCCATGAGATGCTCCTGGTTTTTATAGGCTTTTTTGAGTTTGGGCAAGGACACAGGGGCCCCATGATCCCCTATTGCCCGGGGGCCCCATGAGTTGTCAGTCCGCCCCTGGCAGGTACACAAAACAAAGATACTCACTCCCAGGAACAAAACTGTAAAGGCGAAAAAAGAAAGAATGTAAGTTTAAATTTTGGGTGAAGGTCTACTTAAATGATAAAAGATACAGCTTTTGTAAAGAAATTATACTGTTGTTGTATATTGTAAGGTTCACCATAGGCATACTATATTATATATTTTCTCTCTCTATCCCTCTCTCTCTCCTGCTGAATTATGCATTAAACAATAGGAAATATATACCGTTATTTACAAAACAGCAGTTGCCTCAAATGTAAAATCTATATTTAAGGACACATTCAAAGCTAAACTTTCTTTTTCAGATCCATCTGCTCCACCAGCACCAACTAACCTCAGAATCATCAATTCCACCACAAACAATGATGGTACAACAACTGTACGAGTTACATGGGATCTCCCAGAGGAGCCTGATATACCTGTGCATCATTATAAAGTGTTTTGGAGTTGGACATCACATAGCAAATCTGTTGTTCCAACCAAGAAGAAGCGCAGGAAGACAACAGAAGGGGTAATGAGTGCTTATTTGTTTTATTTATCGATGGGCTTGCATTTTTTGCATATATCCACCAAGTTTTAGCCAGTTCCTGCTATTAGCCCACAATGTATTTATTTGCTGAACTATATATATTTAATATGACTACCGTATATATGTAAAGAGGAAAAAAGTTTTTATATAGTACAACATAATAGCTTGTCCCTAGATTAGCAGTGAACCATGACACCACATCCCAGATATTTTTGTAAAGCACAAACAAAATGAAGTATCACTGGACGTTTAATACTTTTAAGATGTCAATTATATATATATCGTGAGAACAAAGTAAAATAGGGATCTGTAAGAGAATTAAAATTTTACATTACAAACTTGAATGCATCTACCAAAAAAACTAAGCACAATGTGGGACTTTCAAGGTGTAACCTCTCAACAAATTCATACTAAAGAAAACGTAATTAAAATACATTTCTTATTGGGACAAATGATTAAAGAAACCCATTAGTTAAAAAGTCTTTGTATATCGTTAAAACAATGCTGCATAGCATCCATCCTAACCTGAATAGATATTACACTGTAACGAGAGCTCAAAAATCCAAATACCAGTACATATGATCATCATATACATTACAACCTCAGAATCATCAAGCCTGATTATCCAAGACTCATGGACAGTTAGAAGATTATCAATATGCCTTCATTCTCAACATATTTTACATAGTGCTTCATCAGGAGTAGGTGCTGTAAATACAAATCATAAATAAAAATATACATACTGTATATCTGAGCCCATTATTATGTGCCATATAGCCATCAACTTAAGATACCAACATGGAGGAGAGGCATCAGCAACTTACAAATAAATGATGATTCTTATGCTTATGTTTAGCAGTGGTACTAGGATTCCATCTGCCAATAGGGGGGCATAAAAAGCCCTAAACAGTTTAGGGACCCTGGATAGAGCAAACGTGAATGGCAGCCATATACTGCACTATGCATACAGTATCAAGAAGAGGGGGTATCCTTTAGAAAATGGTTTATAAACAAAATTCAGAAACATGAGCACATTAGTGGAATAATTAAATCCCTTTTGCTTGGATGGAATATATATCTGCAGTACATACCTGTAATAGAGGTATGAATGATAGGGTCCAAAAAAGGAGACTCAATCTCACACCCGCAACAAAGGGGTGAATGTCTGCCCCACATAGGGAAGGTAGATTCACAAAATATTTAGATCCATCCATTTTTAACATATTACCCAAAGCCCTCTACCCAGCCATAGAGGCCATTTACCTTATGCACACCCATCCCAGTGTTTTTCTAGACCAGTGTGCATGGACCCTAACACTATTCAGTGTGAAGTTAATTTTCCTACTCTTTTTTTTTTTCATTTTCAGAACCAAAACTATGTGACTCTAGAGGGATTGCAGCCAAACAGCAATTATATGGTTGAGATTCAAGCTATTACATATTGGGGACAAGTCCGTTTGAAAAGTGCAAAGGTCTCATTATATTTCTCCTCGGGGCCATCAAGTTCCAGTAGTAAGTATATACAAACACTGTCCACAAACGTTCTTTTACAGTTCCGCTATAGGCAAGTTTTTTTTTCTTATAATCTATTCTATCTTTTTGTTTACTTAACTCCGCCGGACACTGCAGTAATCCTCTTTCCTAGCCTCTGTCACATCATCACAGGGGCTGATAAACTCCTTACAGAGCCGGGGGGGGGGGGGGGGGGGGTAAGGATCTTAGAGGGTGCCCTACATCACTTTATTTAGATGCAGTGAGCACTTTAGGCTTCATGTACATGAGTTTACCCTGACCGCCGGCCACGGGAAAACGCGAATTGTGTCAAAAACACAGTACCGCGGTTTTGCTGCATTTGTTTTCCCACAGTCGGCAATCATAATGTTTCTATCCCAAATGCGATTATTTCGCGTTCAGGAAAGGAAAACTCTGCTAAAAGCCTATGTGTACATGGACACATAGGCTTTTATGAAGTTGAGTTTAGAAGCTTTGGCAAAAAGTTGCTCGTGTACATGAAGCCTTAGGACCATGCTTGCTTCTGCCCTCAGGCATTGTGTACTACAAAATAGGCAGTTTTATTTATATTGAATGGACTGTATGTTTAAAGTACATGCCCATGAAAACTTTCCCTAGCTCCTCTTTTTTTTTCCCTCTCACTAATAGGTCTGGGTCCCCCTTCCAGCAGGTGCTTACTTACATTATTAAGCAGCTGAAGCCTACTGCACAACTTAACTTGTTTTTCCTTTTAGAAACAAAGTGTGAATTTGGTGTGAAATTTCTTAGAGCTGACCTTATATAGAAAGAAAGGTATTTAGCCAAACTTTTGCAACTGAACATAAACCAAGTTTCTAGTAAATAATATAAATACATATAAATTGGTTTACTGTTTGGGCTACTAATACTGTCTAAAAGCAAAAAGTATCAGTAAAGAAAATGTTTTACTGAATGCCATGTTTGCATATTTATGTAAGTAATCCACCAGCTCAATATTAAAGCAATTTGCAGGATATTAAAATCAATGTATGAATTTTTAATTCATAAAGTCTGATATTTGCTTCTTAATAAATCATTTAATTATTTTCAGAGGATCAAGTATCAAAAGTCAGCAAAATAAAGACTGATACTCTAGTTTCACCTCAAAGAAAGCGCACGGCTCACATGCTTGAAATTGGAGCCCCGTTCTACCAGGATAATCAACTTCAGGTCAAAGTGTACTGGAAAAAGAATGAAGGTGAATGCAATGATCATTTTTATAGTAAATTATTTTTTTTTACAAGTTTTGGTAAAACATGAGAAGATATTATTCCTCTTTAGAAACTTCAGTATTTTTCTTTAAAATTTAAGCAAAAAGCATTGATGTCAAAATGGCCCATTTTTTAAAGAGAGATTGGGCACAGTACAGAGCACTGCAATAGAATACAATAGAAATATTTAACCAGCACACATGCTACGTTCTATCAGATTAGGATTTTAATTTTCTATCAGGACCATATGATATAATTTTGCCTAACATTAAAGCTAATCTAAAGTCATTTTTTTCAGTTTTGGATAGAGGTAGTCAATGGCTAAAACTCCTATCATCTCTATGTTTTTCTTTTTTTGCGGCCTGTGTCCAATGGTGGATATTTCCTTTCACTTCATACAACATAAAGTGACGTTAGTGATCACTGTAAAGTGAGGGGAAATATGGCAAACACACAGGTATTTATATGAGCATTCAATGCATCTAAACTGATCAAACTAAAGACCCTCCATTCAATTGCTATAGTGAGCTCTCAATAGAATTTCAGCATTGCCAAATTGATTGGTGGTGGTGGAAAAAAGGTGAACAGAGAACTAATATTTGCTGCTTGCTGGCCAGCTAGGTGGGTAAAATACTGGCCTCCCCAGTGCACAGAATGGTCCCTCCTCCCATCTTATGCATCCTGTAGTGTAGAAGCTTAGTTACAGGCATTGGCATACACATATTACCATCTTTTCTAGTTAATGTTCTCTTCAGTTTTGTATACCTCTGGTCCAGTTCCATTTAAAATTCATATGTACCAAGATAGCTGGAGTTGCCATTTTTTGAGCCAGATCAGTGAAAGTTGTTCCAAAGGTCAAATGACTGCAAGCATTAACATAAGTATAATTTATTTCATTATGGCTCATGAACAAATAGATAGTTTAGTGGTCACATGACTTGCGCATTTTAGGACATTCTGTTTCATTAGAAATCCTTGTTTAGACCATACTTTAACTGGTATTTAACTAGCAGGGCATTCTCAGTTCAACCATAAAGATATTGGAATTTTTACTTTTTTAAGATTCATTTTTAATAGGATTAGCAATCGTTCAGTCTTAACTTCTTTCATAGTTCATTTAATTAACTAGATTAGAATGCCGTTTAAAATTATATGTTTTATATGAAACATATACTGACAAACGTTTACAGCTGGGATCCCAAGGCAGTAGGCAAAGTTGTTGAAAAAGCAACACAGATAACACAAACCATAGTTTTTTTAAATAAAAATAAAAAGTCCAGTCCTTGATAATGGTAATTTTGCATCTACTCAGCAGAATTTAATTGTTGGTTAACCTATTAAGTTCGGTAAATTTTTAACTTTTTTTGCATTTTTTTTAGGTTTAATCCACTCCCTAGCATATACATACTTTTCCTTCATTTCTCTACCCCTCCATTTAGTGCTAGGAGATGACATACATGTCTAGTACTTCCAGGTATGGAGGAGCATGTACAGTACAACCTTACTTTTACACCTTACTAACCCATCCATGACTGCTGCCCCTCTCTGCCAATCCCACCACTGGCTTCCACTGGCCCAGCATATAAAATTCAAAGTACTAACCACAACATACAAAGCCATCCACGACTCTTCCCCCAGCTATATCATTAACCTCATCTGCAGATATTGCCTAAATTGTCCTCTCTGCTCCTTCCAGGACATCTTGCTCTATAGCTCCCTTGTTATCTCCTCCCATGCTCACCTCCAGGACATTTTCAGAACCTCTCCCATCCTCTGGAACTCTCTACCCTGCCCGACTTTAGGTGATTCTTGAAAACTCATTTATTCAGAGAAGCCTACCCCATCGCCACCTAAAAAATCTGTCACCTCTATCAGATTATCCCCTGCAGATACTACCTTTTTTACCACCTCTCCCTCCCTTTAGATTGTAAGCTCTATGAGCAGGGCCTTCCTATTCCATCCATATTGAACTGTGTTGTAATTGTACTGTTCCCTCTATATTGTAAAGTGCTGCGCAGACGGTTGACACTATATAAATCCTGTATAATAATAATATCATGTGAGAATGCTGGGCCAATCAGTACTGTTACAAAAATAGTCCAAATAGTCTATAGCCTTGTGTAAACTATTACTCTAGTGACTGGTGGTGGAAAAGGGAAAGAAAGGAAATATATGCTGCTGGGGGCTTCAAACTAAAGTGAATCTTTAGGCAAACACACAGCTAAATATCTGCTCGTTTGAATAGTATGATTGGAAAAGGTCTAGTGCAGTGATTTTTTTTTTTTTAAACACGACTATATAAATAAGGACTTGCCTGCACAGGCATCTTTGTTTAGCTGTCTACATACCTTTCTGATGTGGATTTGAAGGATGCTGAAAGCAGTGCTTGAAAGTTATACTGAGTTGTAGTGAGCGTTGACAACTGGAGTTTACTATTGCTTTCGCTATGCTTTGTGTTTTATTATCTTGGTAAACTCATTATACTTTATTTTGTTGTATTTGCTTTTGTTACATCATATAAGTCAAAGAAAATACAATGAGAATGCATTCTGAATACATGCTAAACACACTGCAAATGTATCTTAGAAGCAGTCCATTTTCTTGTGACTGCTGTTTGTTGTACTTCTGTGTCTAAGGTCTGTATTAAAAAAAAAGTGCTTAATATGTCAGTGGAAACAGTGGAACATTTTAATGCAATAATTAATGATACGTTTATCAGTTAGCTCAAACTAGGGGGTAGATTGATTCACTTAAATTTGCTCTTAAAAGTAACCACTTGCTAGGTTTTTGCTGTAATGAATGCATGTGAATGGGTCCATTTCCCATATTCACATAGCTGACTTACTGGAGTATATTCGGTTTGTAAAATGAATATTCACTGAGCTTAGCCAATCACATGAATCCATTTTCACAATTTCTGTATTCTATTCAAAATTCTGTAGTATCAACCATCCCATAGCCAACACTTCAATCCTGCCTTATAAGCCATCCCATGACCAACTTTAATTTTTAAAAATCTTTTTGTTGGCATTACACTTATATATGTGTTTTGCTACCCCCGTAGGGGCCACTGGTATCAACTGGTTCTTCCCTAATGGTACAGAAGCTGCCCGTCCCCTCAAGTACCATTCACACAATCTCTAGTAACACAATCTAGGGGGCTTCTATATAACATTTATTGCTTGAAGAAACTTAAAACAGGAGAAGGTTTAGGGCATGGGATATTACAAAACAGTTAGCACACAGCAATAAAAGAATAATCTTCTTCTTTAGCATTTGTGGGTGTTGGACAGCCTAATGCCTCACAGCTAAGCACCATGAGGCAGGTTTCTGATTAGTCTAACACCTCACAGCTGGTGACCATGGGGTAAGTCTCTGGCACCAATGCACAGCTGCTGGTACCCAGTACAACACTGCATGGTCAAAGGTATCAATTTAGGGTCTTTACCCACAAGTCCCAAGGACAGCTGTCACCTTCTAGCTTCTTCTGGACACAGTCCAGTGAGTGAGACAGTCCTTCTCCAGACCAGAACCCTTGTGGTGAGGTCCTGCAATCAGCTTCTAATGAGGTCCAGTCAAGTCCTCAGCCCTTACACCATTGAGACCTCTAAACAGCTACATAGTCCATGGGCTGCCTGGAGGCATCAGAATCCTCCTGTGGAGAGAAATTCCAAATCTACAATGCTTCAGGCTATTTATCACCTTTCCAGCCCTTTTCTGGACAATTCTCACCAGGGATTGGTTGGAGCATGACAAACATTCAGGCTGGTTATATGCATCTTCCTCCCTAAGCTCTGGAAGCTTTCTTCCAGAGGCAGGGGGGAACAATCTTACTCTCAGCCTGTGAACCTCTAAACAGACCAGACAAATGATTGGTGCCCCTTTGATTGCAGAAGGAGCCAAAACTAAATTTACCTAGCATCCTACGCTAGGAGAGTGCTACAGATATATATCTGACCACAAAAGGAACAACTTAAAGTGGTTCAGTAGCGCAAAATATTATAAAGTGAATGAAACAATAAAACTAAATATCAAAATATGACTTTTGATATGAATAAGTCCTAAATAAAGTCCTTAATAAACCCACAAAAACTTCAGGTTCTCCAAGAACGTTCACCATGTGTACAAAATGAAATGTCCCCCCTTTCGGGTGTGCACTCACCAAATGAGTATGTCCCTCACTCTCATGGTTGGCCAAATCACTTAAAGAAAACAATTACCATCTCCCGTACACCAAGATGTCACTCTCTTCAGGATGCATAGGTATCATTCCATAGATTGGTTGGTAATAGGTGTAAAGACCTTGAAAATGGTCACAGCCACCCTTCTTCCTCCTCTGTAAAAACCTCCCAAATGGTCATGTAAGAGAAAAACACATAAGAGAAACACAAATGGTGCAGTACAAAATGCCTTTTATATTGACCCTATGAGGAAGTCGGAAGTGACGAAACGCGTCAGTACGGGACTGTGCGGTAAACGGAAATGACGACAGCAGAACCAGAAGTGATGCGATTTGCACCATTTTTGTGACACTCGGCGGTGGTGAAAGCACTGCAGGGCTTCACATGGTATGGTTTCACTATCTGCAGCATTTTTTAATTTATTTTAATTCTTGTAAGTGGCTATCTATTTGGGCCAATAAAGAAGGCATTTTGTACTGCACCATATTGGTTTCTCTTTTGCGTTTTTCCCTTACATGACCATATGGGAGATGATCACAGAGGACGAAGAAGGTGGCTGTGACCATTTTCAATGCCTTTACACCTTTTACCAACCAATCCGTGGAATGATACCTGTGCATCCTGAAGAGAGTGACATCTTGGTGTATGGGAGATGGTGATTGTTTTCTTTAAGCGATTTGGCCAACCATGAGAGTGGGGGCCATACTCATTTGGTGAGTACACACCAGAAAGGGGTGACATTTCATTTTGTACACGTGGTGAACATTCTTGGAGAACTTGAAGATTTTTGTGGGTTTATTAAGGAC